TGACCGGCAGCTGATCCCAGGAAGCCCGGGGCAGAGCACCTCTGCCCCGGGCTTCCTGTAGTCAGCCGCTGGTCAGTTTCAGCAGCGGCTGACTTAGGAACACCTGGGGCAGAGCAACTGGGGTGCTGCCGGATTGGTCCAGTAGTGCCGAGGAGCGGCACTGCGGGACCAACCCAGCACCACCCAGCTGCTCTGTCCCAGGCGTGTCCGATTCAGCCGCTGCTGGTCAGTTTCAACAGCGTCTGAATCTGGACACCAGTTCCGACTTACATACAAATTCAACGTAAGAACAAACCTACAGTCCCTAACTTGTACGTAACCCGGGGACTGCCTGTATTTATTTTAAGCAAAAGCAATTGCTTGGTCTGGTACAAGAGATGGAAATAAGCTGTCACCATCAACTCCCAACTCCATTTGATTTTTCTGGGTTCTTCAAAAGAGAGTTTGCAGAGTTCAAATTGCTGCTCAGCTGGGAACTATGCAGAGACCTACTTTGAACCAAATATATGACAGATGGAATTGACATTCTCCCATCAGCTCTATGTTGCAATACTTTGTTTTAGGATAGCATGAGATGTAAAGTGAGCCTGTAGGATAGCATGAGATGTAAAGTCAGTAGCCTAGTATGTGGAAAGTCTTTGCTCCAAATAAGGCAGAGTATCTAGTCATCTGCTATTTATAAAATTGAAGATAATGTGAGGTTTGGGTTTTTTTAGCAATTCAATGCCATTCGCTTTAATCCTAAGCTTTTTACCATTGGAATTTTGTGTTTTCCATCTAAATTGGGCACAGCTGGGAGTTGAATGTGGGCCTCCCACCTTCCAGGCCAGTGCCTAAGTGAAAGTAGGTTTTTCTTCCTCACTCCTAGCTTCCTCAGACTCAAACCTGGTCTAAAGATGTTAAGGATTGGATAATTGACTAATCAGAAAGTCAATGCATTTTGTATTCAATCAGTTGATAGGGCTCCTCCACCTTTGAAGTATAGCAACAGCCCTAGGGTGGTGGTGTTTCAAAGCAGCAGAGCTGCATGGAGCCCAGGGTCAGCTGGTCCCAGGCTCCACGCGGTACTGCTGCTTTGAAAGGCTGCAAGGAGCCTGGGGACATCCAAGCTGGCCCCAGGCTGCACGTGGCTTTTCAAAGGAGCAGCGCCACATGGAGCCTGGGGTCCTTTCTTCTCCCCAGCCCTTGCTGCCTCTATCTGATAGAGGTAGTAAGGAGGGTGGGGAAGTGAGTAGTTGACCAGTCCTTCACATCCCTAACCTGGACCCAAGAAACCTTCCTGCCAAACTTGTCATTGAAACATATGTTTCAACAAAACATAAGAACAGCCATACTAGGTCATACTATCCAGCCCAATAGGCTGTTTTCCGACAGTGACCAGTGCCCAAGAGGGAATGAACAGAACAAGTAATCATCAGGTGATCCATCCACTGTTGCCCATTCCCAACTTCTGACAAACAGAAGCTAGAGACACCATCCCTGCCAGTCCTGGCCATTGATGGACCTCACATTTGGGAATCTCCTAACATCTTTAGCTGTGAAGACCAATAAAAAGATTTAACTTAGTTTTTCTGCATTGGCCCTATTGTCTTTGAGTGTTCCTTTAGCATCTCCATTGTCCAGTGGCTACACTGTCTGTTTAGTAGGATTCCTACTTCTGATATATTTAAAATAATTGCTATTATTTTTTGAGGCTTTGGCTAACTGTTCTTCAGATTCTTTTTGATCTTCCTAATTATGTTTTTACTCTTCATTTGCAAGAGTTTATGCTCCTTTCTGTTTTCCTCAATAAGATTTAATTTCCACTTTTTAAAGGCTGTCTTTTTGTTTTTCACTATTCCTTTACTTTGTTTAGCCATGATGGGACCTTTTTATTCTCTTACGTTTTTTAATTTGGGATATATACATTTAAGTTGAGCCTCTATTACGATGTCCTTAAAATGTTTCCATTCAACTTATAGCGATTTAACTTTTGGCACTGCACATTTTAATTTCTGTTTAACTTCCTTATTTTTTATGTAGTCCCCCTTTCTGAAATGAAATGCTAGTGTGTTTTCCCCACCACTGGGATGTTAAATATAATTATACTCTGGTCATCATTACCAAGCAGTCCAGTTATATTCACCTGTTGGACCAGATCCTCTGTTCTACTTAGGACTAAATCAAGAATTGCCTCTCCTCTTGTGGATTCCAGGACTAGCTGTTCCAAGCAGCAGTCACACTTCAACAGCAAAATGTTTCACTGAAAACATTTTTACCAGCTCAGGTGACAAATACAAGCAGGCTAAACCAGTTTGGAATAGTATCTACAAATAGGAGGGTTGGGTAGGTATTTTACTGACAGCTTTTTCTTAACAGTGTAATTGGCAAGGAAAAGACCAGAAGGCTTTAGTCAGTCAGGATTGGTTTAGAGTCATTTATTCATTGTGGCTGGGCTTCACGTGGTTCAAAAGCCAAGATAAACTCAGAATCACTGGACAATTAAGGACAAATCTACTGCTAGAAGGGGCAATTGCAGGGGTGAGGGAGGAGGGCTGCTGTCAGTCTTCTTGATATCCATCTCTGGACTTTCAATCTGCAACTTTCAAACATGTTAGCTACTGAGTTTTAAAAATATACATTCTATCCTAGTCTAAACAAGGACTGTGACCCACAACATCTCCTTCCATACCTTCACAGATATGTTATGGCTCGGCTGCATTTGTGTCAGGCTTGTCCATTGAACCATTTTGTATTCAGCTATGCAGTGGCATCAGAGGCTCCACAAATTAATTCCCCCCCCCCACACACACACACACAGTTCTAGAGACCGAGCCATATTGAAGCCCAACATGGAGCCAACCGGACTTCAACATAATTACAATGATGGCAACAAACGCTCTGGTAACACTTTATAGACTAACAAAACATGTAGATGGTCTCATGAGTTTTCGTTGGCACAGCCTACTTCTTCAGATGTTTGGTAAAAAAAAAACCAAAAGAAATGAGGGAGGGGGGGGGGGAGGAGGAGAAAAAGAAAAAAGGAAGGAGGGAGTTTGAGACAGAGCATCATTAAGTATCTGGAGAATGGGTACTTAAACCTAAGCAGATAAAAATCTAAGTCAATAGATAGATTGCTAAGACAGGAAGGATACCACTCAGAGAGCTGTTAGCACTTTCAGTGGTTATTAAGTAGGTAGTGTCCTAGCCAGCCCATATCACGATTGAGTCCATTAGCATGTGAATTGAATTTGTGGATGAACTGGGATTCCAGTCCTTCCCTATGAATCTGGCTTGTGGAGCTGGCCTGTTATACGGAAACAGTACCAATATTTGTATCGTCATCCAGGACACCTATTAAAAACTGCAATACCTGGTCACCTTATTCAAATGACTACTTTGAAATTAGATTAAGCTGAGTAAAACTACTTTGTGTGACAAGCTCTCTAGTGGCTGTCATCACAGTTTGTAACTGAAAAAGCAAAACTGTCTCTTCAGACTTAAGGGAAGAAAGACTGTCACAAAACTTGTTAAGTTCTATTTAAAAGATTAAGATGTTTGAAAGAGGGGAAATGGTTTTTCACCATAGTTTAAGTAATCTGCATACCCAAGGAGGAAAGGACAGAGATAAACAAAGAGGAAAGAAAATTTAAAAATACATAACATAAAAATAGCTGTTTCTGGCTTGTTTGGAGATTTTGTCTTAATCCTGCTTGGATTGGTGAAATTTAGACTGTTTAAGCATTGTGTACCTTTGAATATATAGTTTGACGCTGCCTATATTTGCATTGTGCATTGGGAAGGAATTTGTCTATTCCTTAAAGCCATCTGACTCCAAAGTTGGGGCATACCCTTAAAACAAAGGATAAAATCTTGCTTCTGTTGAAGTCAGTGGCAAAACACCTAGGCTATGTCTAAACTGGCGCGATCTTGCACCAGAAATATGCAAATGAGGCTAAACCAGAAGGAGCATATACACTGCCCCTTCTTGCGCAAGAAAAACTCTCTTGCGCAATGCCACTATGCTGATTATTTTCAGGAATACTGGCATTGCGCAAGAGAGTTTTTCTTGCGCAAGAAGGGGCAGTGTATATGCTCCTTCTGGTTTAGCCTCATTTGCATATTTCTGGTGCAAGATCGCGCCAGTGTAGACATAGCCCTATTGACTTCAACCTAGCCAGGATTTTATTGACAGGCAGAAACATATTTTTCCTGTTGTGAAAGTTAGGTATATCACAAGACTCACTGAAAACAGTCATAAATTAGCAAAGAGGAAGCACTGACAAGTACTTTTATTGATTCATTAATATATATATTAAAAAGAGACTATTTTAGTATTTGGAGAATCCGTCTTTCCGTTTTCAAACAGATATAGCTCATCCTCAGATTTTCTAGCTCAGCTTCTGAACTGATTAGGGCTCATCCTAATGCAAGGGAAGATAGCAATACCTCTGGGCTGTGTCTAGACTGGCAAGTTTTTCCGGAAAATCCATCTGCTTTTCCGGAAAAACTTGCCAGCTGTCTACACTGGCCGCTTGAATTTCCGGAAAAGCACGGACGATCTCATGTAAAATCATCAGTGCTTTTCCGGAAAAACTATGCTGCTCACGTTTGGGCAAAAGTCTTTTTCCGAAAGACTTTTGCGCAAAAGGGCCAGTGTAGACAGCAGAGAACTGTTTTCTGCAAAAAAGCCCCGATCGTGAAAAAGGCGATTGGGGCTTTTTTGCGGAAAACCGCGTCTAGATTGGCCACGGACGCTTTTCCGCAAAAAAGTGTTTTTGCGGAAAAGCATCCTGCCAATCTAGACGCACTTTTCTGAAAATGCTTTTAACGGAAAAGTTTTCCGTTAAAAGCATTTTCAGAAATTCATGCCAGTGTAGATGTAGCCCAGTAGTATTGGCAATTGAGTCAGTTCTCTCCTATCTGCCTCTCACTCCGTTTCTTTCATATAGATGTCAATTTACAAATTGTTTGGAAACTCATTTTCACCACATATTATACATGTTTAGGGAATGGTAGGACAAAGAGTCTGAGTACTGTAGTAATCTTTTCCCCCTCTTCAAATAGGATGGCTTAGTGAGTGGGACCAGAGGTTCCTCTCACAGGGAGCAGGGGATGGGGAACCCTTGTGGTACCAACCCTGCACAGGATTTCCAGAGGTCTCTGAGCTGTGATCAACTGTAGAGTACAGAGGCTCAATCTTCCACCCAGTGGATTGGAGGAATATGGGGTATCCAGCTCCTGTGGAAGGGTAAAAGGCTCTGCTGCCAATTTGACATTATACTCTGCAGCACCGTTAGCCACTCACCCACACCTGCACCCCAAACTAAGGACCAAAACTTCACAATTTTTTACAGCCTTTCTTATCCAAATATCCACTCACTTTTGTAACTTTTACTTAAAATCTGTCACTTTCTGTGTATTGTATATTTGTGTTCAACCTCTATTATATATTTTAGCTGAAATGAAAGTATAAAATTGCCTTTACCTGTTATAACACATAGCTAACAAGCAACTGTAATCATCTGGGAAATGTTTGTATGCAATTAAATTACATTTATCTTTTGAAAAGATTGTTTTGAGGTCTACGATCTGAACGGTGATGGATACATTTCACGAGAGGAAATGTTTCATATGCTGAAGAATAGCCTGCTAAAACAGCCATCAGAAGAAGATCCCGATGAGGGAATTAAGGACTTGGTAGAAATAACACTGAAGAAAATGGCAAGTACCAAACATAAATAACCATTTATTTTATTTAAGGTGCACTTCTTTAATATCAATGAATTCATCTTCACAACAACCACAGGAGTTAAGCACCAGAGTGCCCAGGGGCAGCTCTGGCTCCATGTTACAGAGTGCTATGGTGTCCCGAGTGATGGCAACCAGAGCACGCAGAGACAAAATGCTTTGCTGTCCCTCATCGAGGTAGGCAAGCAAGCAGGGAAACCTGAGACCCGGCTGTCCAGGGGAGTCCCTTTAAGCACAGGCCTCAGATAGCCTCCAGCAGCAGCCACACAAAGTAGCTCCTGACCTGAGGCCCTGCCAGACCTGATTCCGGCAAGCCTTAAATGCGATTCAGCATCCACTCATTATGGACGTACTATTTTGAAATAGCAAAACGCTATTTGGAAATGCATTTTGTGTGTAGACGTGTTATTTCAAAATAACTTATTTCAAATTAACTATTTCAAAATAAGATCTTTTGAAATAACGCTATAGTGTAGACATACCCTAAGATATTAAGTGACTTGCACAGATTTTACAGGAGGTCTAAGAAAGAGCCAAAAATATAACCCCCAGTTCCCATGAATCCCACTTTAGTGACATAACAAAACCATCCTACCTTGCTCAGTTCATTACACTAATATATTTTCTCCTGATCACCTTAAGATACTTATTTTTAAATGTACCTTCCTTTCCTGTTACTATGGAGTCTTACTCCTCTGGGATTCTATGTTGGTCAACAAACTGCAGGACGGCTGGCCCACCCTACCCTTTATCAGGTGCAGGGTATGAAAACATACAGGTGCAAGCAAGGACCTTCCCCTCCCCCCCCAACGGAAACTGTTGGACAAATGAATCTGATCTTGTGTGCATGCCTACCAAGAGTGAAATTCAGCTCAACAATTACTTGAAGAGTATTTGATAGTGTAAGATAAGTAACTGTTTTTGACCAATAATGCTTATCCTCCTTTTCTAGGACTACGACCATGATGGCAAGCTCTCTTATACAGATTTTGAAAAAGCTGTAAGAGATGAAAATCTTCTCTTGGAAGCATTTGGACCATGTTTGCCAGACATGAAGGTATTAAATAATTCTTACATGTTTAAAAAAAAAATAACTGAGGCGAGTACTGCCCTTCACCCTGATTATTGCCTCGCAGTTCTTTGAGAATTGCCAGTTCTCCAATTGTAAGATATTCATTTGCTCATGTTGGATTCATAGATTTCTATCATAGGAAGTCCTACAATGGGGTGCGCAATAAGCAGCCCCCGGGCTGGTCACAGTTCACCAGGATTAGCCCCTGGTGGACAGTCAGACATTTTGTTTACCTGGGCATCCACAGGCACAGCTGCTTACAGCTGCCCTTGGCCAGGATTCACCGTTCCTGATCAATAGGAGCTGCAGGAAGAGGCATGGGTTGGGCCACTGCTTCCTGCAGCTCCTGTTGGCTGGGAATGGTGAACTGCAGCCAATGGATGCTATGAGCATTTATGCATGTGGACACTTGGGTAAAAAAGTATCTGGTGGCCCACTAGAGGTTAACCCTGATTAACTGCATCTTGTCTGTGGGCCACTTAATGCTTACCCCTGATCTAAACAAACACTTACTTGTAGATCCAGAACTTCCAGGATCCCCACCCAGGACAGCCAGCCAAGCAGACTGTCCTGTTGGCAGAGGCTTATAGGAGCCTGGCTCCTCCACAATAACATATTCCCACCCGGCAGCTCAGGGAAAGCTTGGATTCCATTTTGCACAGAACTTCAACATTTTGAAGTTTTATTGTCAAAACAAAACCAGCTTTTAAATTTTTGAAATCCATCATGAAAGAGGACTACTATTACTACTATTCTTGCCCAGCTGTAATATCTATTTTAATTTGAGAGATAAGGAAAAGATTTGAAGATGAAATGACTTGCCTAATATCTTAAATTTGGTGAAAAAATTGGACTAAAAATCTAGGCCATCTAATGCCTACTCTGTTCTAGTTATTAAACTATGGTCCTACTGAAGATTCATGTCAACTGTTATATGCTAGCAACTTCTATGCTTTGTGTATTGTGCTCTAAAAGCTTGTCAGTTTTTTAAAAGGATTCAGTAGAAAAGAGCACTCTAGTCTGTATTAACCTGCAGTTCTAGCCCCAGAGGTTTGGATATGCTCTTTACTATTCTGTTGCAAAAAACAACAAAACAAGCATCTCATTATTTTTTTTTTTTTTACTTTAGCTAAGGCAAGAAAGGATTCCCAATGCAGCTTTTTCTTTTAATTTTTAGATGTTCAAAAATCAGGATATTCTCATAAGTGGTATATCTAGTTATAGCTACCCATCATGAGTCCTTTTGTTTCCAGAAGGAACCATCACTCTGAATGTTCTGACAAGTTCTTGGACACAAAAATTTACATTACATAAGTGTGAGGTTGCATAAGAGAAATTGGAAAGATATTTTCAAATTTTAAGTAATATGTTTACTCTTAACAAGCTGCAATTTAGCACTATTATTTTCCGAATACTTTTCACCCTTTTAAACTAGTTTAAATTATTTTACTTTATAATTATTTTGTCGTATTATGTTTGTTTGTTTTTTAAATATAGAACAGCATGGCATTTGAAATGCAGGCATTCCAAGAAACTGGTGATCTGTAACTCTGCAACTGGAAAACTACTGTAAAGGCCTGTTTCTCGGCATCAATTTTCTTAAGACGGTAAAAATAGCAACAAGTCTGAACTCTATAATATACCTCAGCATTCCTTAACTTCAGTATACCTGCTAATGAAGAAATGAGTAAGAGGATTACAAGGACATTTGAAGGAGTTAATATTTTATACCTCATGAAATGCTATCTGTCTACTGAGGTACCAAAGTGCTACAAATTATAGACGCTGGTTTCACAAAATGTAAAAAAATACAAGATGTATAATCATGAATGTTTATGCTACTGCTTGAAAATACAATTTAATATTTCTTTACCTCTGACATTACAAAAATAAAAAATCCTTGAAATTACATCCTGTAAAGGCAGATAACACCAAAGATGCTACCAGTGGTATCTATATTCTTCTTCTCTGCTTTATCGGTGGCTTTGTTTGACTATCCTCTGGTTTTTCCCCAGATGTTTTTGGAACAGTAACTGATACCTAGTTTAAAAAGGAAAAAGTTCAAGCTCAATGCATTGTTATTATTCCTTCTTCTGTTACTTTTAGAATAAAAGGTCCCTGGATATGTATGTAACTTAGATATTTGAATTTTAGGATCAAAGTATAATATCTGTTCATTGCAATTGTATTATAAATTTTCCCCCGCATAAAGTGATAGATAACATTCTCTTACAAAAACAGTTTTTAATGCTTAGAATGAAATACTGGGGAAACAGTACAGCATCAACAAGAAAGTGAATCAGTGACAGTCAACTTGCTTTATTCATTTTGAATCAAGAGCTTGCATACAGCTACAGATCTACTGAAGTAATTCAGTCCACTTGTGAAGTGAAATGCTACTCTGTGTGAGAAGAAATATCAGTGGCTGGCCCTATACAGCCGCTAGTAAACTGCATTTTAAAAGTTGTATGTTCCAAGATTGAATGCTTTATTCCTGGTTTCAAAATGCAAAAAGGCTGTTTGGAATAAAATGAACCCAAATATTTTGTCAAAAACATGAGTTTTTATGCCAGTCCCTTATAGTGTCCCCAAAGAAAAGTCAAAAAGCATTCATTAAGCTTTCATATCATGCAAGCTTATTTTTTAAGATATAGCCTCTGGATCTCTTTTAAATTATATTAATTGGAGAAAGACAGACCAAACTATCACTGCATTATTTACTCATGTATTTAGAAAAAGCAGTTCAAATTTAATATTTTTGCTTAACTTCAGAACTGCTGCTATCTTAAGCCATCTTACTTGTTTAACCCTTTTACTGTTTGAAAAAACAAAAATAATCGTGAGCCTCTCATTGCGATATAGCTGTGCAGGTAAAATATTTCATGTGGGGCAGTACACAATATCTATGAAGGAAGTATGAACAATTTTCAAATAACTGAAAGGCAAAGAAAAGGAAATTCTAATATAAGGCCTGTCAAGCGGGTCGATCTGCCGTTTCCCCCATCCCTAGGCCAATCAGGGCCTGGAGAGCATACAAAGTCTCCTCCCCTACCAGGGGCGGCACACGGTGCTTAGAGTCAACCACCTGGGTTGACTCTTAAGGTGCCCCTTTGATTAAAATGGCTTAATAAAGACGTCTGAAATCCAGATATGCTCTAGATCAAGGATGGGGAACCTCAAGCCCAGGGGCTGCATGCAGCCCCTCGCTTGTCTGGTTCTGTCCCCCAAAGCTCAGGGGCCTCCCCAGCCTGTGCTCCAACTTGCCCCCTACTAATCCACTGCAGGACTGGAGCACTCAAGATCTACTGGGCTAGGCTACCTATGCCCAGTTCTAGTGTGGGAGGAGAATGTGGGGAATGTCTTTCTTCTTCTCAGACGGGGGACACATCAATGAGGGTTTTTGGTTTGTTTGTTTGTTTTTAATTCTCATTTGTGTGCAGCCCCCAAATGATTCTACTTTGGGTCATTGGCACCCCAACCCAAAAAAGGTTCTCCACCCCCATATATTTCACCTGTCTTTGCAGTTAAGTATATGTAGAAAATGAATTAATATGAAAAATGAATAGCATCTTGATGTTACTTTTATTTCTAAAAATGGCAGAAAACCAAACCTATATCAAATGAAAATATTTCAACAGCACAAAGTTGGTGCAGCATCAAAATGATTCTGAAAATATTATGATTACAGAGATTTAAAAAAAACCAACCCTTTGGTAATTTTTTGACATTTGGCCTAGTCAGGAAAGGAGATAAGAACCTGTGACTGATTTCATTGGGCATTATGGATGCTCGCATCTCTCAGAATCAGGCCCCATTATTATTTCATCAAAATGCCAGAAAAATATCCAATGTATTGACATAAGTTACTTGATGGTCCCATATATGTTTTTAAATAATTTTTAATGAATATGTAACACACGTCTGAAAATCAAAATTAGGTGATTGATTTTTATTTTTAGAGTACATACCTTGTTAAGTTTATTTCGAATTAAACTTGCTGAAGTATTCAAGGAATCATCATCCATGTCTACTTTTGGTATTTCTGGTAGCCGTGGACCAATAATGATTTCACTACTATCTGAGTCTGTTCCAATGAAGGCAATTTGATTGCTTTGGTCTCTCTTTCTCTTTCGTTCTTGCAGTTGAGTTGTTCGGGGCATAAATCTCCCAATTCCATTATCAGAAGGAACTTTTCTTTGCAGCACAAGAGAAACTGGTGAGTTAGTACGCCCCCTTTCTTGTGCACTATTAGTCAAAGGTTTGCTTTGGCTATTGTATTCAGAAGTTTCAGCACTGTTATTGACATACTGAGGGAATGCCATTGCACTCTGAAAGTGATCTCCTGAAGGACATGCTGTATTTCTTGATGAAAATTCGCAAGATGGCTTATAAGGGTAAGGACAACGTGCAGAGGGATCCCAGTTACTAGTACTTGCATCAGCTGCACTGACTCCTAAGGTTTCTGGTTGAAAGCAACGTTCTAAGTTCTTTGAAGCAGTCTTTTTAGGTTCCTGTATCTTCTTTGCAATAAAAAGAACTTTAACACAAAAAGGGTAGATTGTTATATATAATGTAGAGAAGTATTAACAAATAAAACATTTATCTAGCGTAGCTGAACTACGGTCTGGATTTTATAGCCAGTTCCAGTCTAACCTCAAGTTTGATACTCATTTTTTAAGTTTTACCCTTCAAACTCTTTCAGGTGTGGCTTCTGCTTGAAACTGAATTATACTGGAAATTTTGAGCAAACATACTTCAGCAGTTTTTTCAAAGGAAAAAAAGAAAACAATTCATCATATTTGTTATATGGTGTGTTTTCATGTAATTAAAGACTGTATAATTAGGCCTGGCAAAATTCCATTTTATTACCATTTTGATGAATAATATTGGCTTATTTTTAGGGATGTAACAGCATAGACAATAATTAACTGATTAGCAAAAGCTTATAGATTAATGCTATAGACTGGATGCATTCACCCCCACAGTACATTTTTTAGCTGGCTGGCCAGCAGCCTGGCTCAGTCCTGGGTCCAGAATTTACTTCTCCTGCAGCTCTGCATTTGAGCTCAGATTTCCCCCCAGACAGGGGCTGCTGCCACCCCACGCTGCTGCCTCTTTATCAGAGGCAACAGCACAGGGTGACAGGCAGCTGGTCTGTGAGGAGAGCTGGTTTTTAAACTGGCTCCCCTCTCAGACCAGCTCCCGGCTGGTACCCCACACTGCCTGGCACCTTGATACAGATGCAGCAGTGCAGAGTGGCAGGGGACTCCTTGGGAGCGAGGCCAGAGTGCAGTGGCTGCTGGCCATGCCCCCAGAGACCACAGAATAGTGGACTAACAGATAAGAATTCATGTGGATACTCGACTATTCAGTTAACTGATATTTCATATCCCTAGTTATTTTTAAGCATTTTTATATCAATTTAAATTTTCACAAATTGAAAAATGGATTTTAAGCATATTTTGCAATTTTTATCAATTTAAATTTTAAGTTGCAAAAAATTATGGGAGGAGTCAGACAGTAATTATGTAAATAACAGATGTTGATATTCAAAAACTTAAAGCTTTAAAATCCTTACAAGACAAATTGTCAACATCACATATTGAAATACACACAGTAAATATCCTTAAACTCTAATAAGTTCTCATGCAGTGCTTTTCTTACTTTGCCTATCTGCACATTTTTGATCAACAATGGAAATAATTTTTGTGTACATGCTAAACTTGATGTTTACTGACATTTACTGATAAAAATATAATCCTTCCGAATCTACTTTAATACATTAGGTATAAAGAGGAAGCAAGCTTAGCTTTGGCATTTTCTGATAGCAGTTTTTAAGTACCTATATGTGTGTTATAAGCAGGAGTGAGAAACATTGTTCTCCTTGACCTCTGCTGATAGGACAAGCAGCAATGGGCTGCTTCTATTTCCTAAATGTCAGAGTGCTTAAACACGGGAATAAATTGCCTAAGAGGGTTGTAGGATCGCCATCATTGGAGATATTTAAGAGTGGGTTAGATAAACATCTATCAAGGATGATCTACATGGTCCATGAGGCAGGGGACTGGACCTGATGACCTCTCAAGGTCTCTTCCAGTTCTAGTATTCTATGATTCCCCACAGGTGGATGGAGCCAGGACTGTGTACCCTGTCTCCCCAGGTGGCTGGGGCTGGAGCCAGGATATTGTGGGCCCCCACTATAGCTTCCCTTGGCCTGAAGCTGTGCACTGCTCCCTTCCTCCCATGGATGCAGCCAGAGCTGTGGACCCATCCTGCAGCCATTGTTGCAGCTGGGGCATGTGCCCCTCCAGGTCTGTGCAGACACCACATATAATCGGAGTATATAATAGCAATATATAAAACGTATGGAGCCTAAACTGTTTACAATATCTAAAAATGAGATTCTGTGGTATGCTTTTTGGAGATACAGCACAGAACTCACAGCCCGAAGGTAGAGGGAAGAGAGAGTAGCTGGTTAATGTGGCTTTATGCCTTTTCAATCTCAGCTGCTCATGAGGAATGGGGTGGAGGGACCTATCTAACTTACAGTAACTCTGGGGCTATCCTATGGGCTACAGTAGTGGTACTCGAAGTGTGGCCTGGGTTGAGGGCTCGGGGCTTGCCCCCTCCCTCAACAGTGGGGAGCCTGTACTGGCAATCCAGTCCCCACTCCCCATGAGGTTGGAGTGCAGGCTTCCCACTGCAAAAGCAGAGGGGGAAGGAGCCTCAACGACTGCATCTGGCTTGCAGGGAAAGGAAGCACCTCCACAAGCTGCTGCTCCCCCTCTCTGGTTAGAGGAATGGCAAGGCAGGAAACTGCTTGCCTGCAGGCTTTTTCCGCTGCTCCCATTGGCTGGAATTACAGCCACTGGGAGCAGCAGGGGTGAGGGGGCCTGGGAGTATCAGGAGGCACAAAGCCAGATGAGCGCCCCCTCATTTCCTTCATGCCCAGACCCTGCATCTCCATCCCTCTCACTCACCCTCCTCCCAGACCCTCCGCCCAATCCACCCCACTCCTGCACCCTCCATACTTCCCAGATGTCTCACCTCAGCCCACTCCTGAATTCAACCTCCCATCCAGACCCCATTCCTCCCCTCTCCTGCACTCATTTTGTCATGGGTATTTGACTGGTAGTCTGTGGAAAGGTCTGTGTTGAGTGGGGTGGGCCAAGAAGTTTGAGAACCACTGTCTGGAATCTCCACAGTGCTGCATGCTGCAGCCCCACCACTGACACATCCCACCCCCACTATGTCTGCATCACCAGTCCCTGCAACTGGGGGAATTCTACCTTTGGTGGATCCATGACCTTAGGGCCCATTTACCCTGCACAAGGATCAGAATGGGGCTAAGACTCTCACCTCATGTTTCTTAGCTATGCTTATGTTTCTGATAAATGAGATCACACACCTCATTATCAAGAAAAGAAACTAGGGAAACAAAAGCATTAAAACCTATCCTTTTGTTAATCCCCTATTTACTATTTGTTTTATATTTTTTGTGATCATTTAGAATCCATTGAACACTGAGAACTTCCCATTCTGCTCTTAAAATACTGAAAACACAGACACGCACACTTTGTAAAAAAGTAAATAGGAACAATTAACTATAAGAATAGGCATTTTTACTTTGCTAAAACATACCCACAACACAAGCGATACTTTAAACTTTCAAAAGGGTGTCCAATTACAAACCTCTATTACTTGTTGCTTTTGCTATATACTTTCTCCTGTCTTGCAACTTCTCCCTTGTTTCTTGGACTGTTTCAAATTCTGGAGCATAACACACATGAAGCAAACTACCAAAGAAACTCCGTTCATCCATTTTTCTCTTGGCTATCCTAAATGAAAGAAAATTGCATTAAAATGTTACATTAGTCCAATATTACCATAGCTTACATTTTAACAAACGTATCTGTGGATCACTGATATTCTCTTGATCTATGTTTGTAATAAACGTTTACATGACTACACTGTACAGAGAACACATCATTCTTGTATTTACCAAGCATATTTACGTGGAATAAATATTTTACCTGAATCTCAAGAAATTTACTTGAAAATATATAATATTAAGAAACCAAAGATTGAAGAAAATGGAAAGCATACAGATGTTATCTGTTGCAATACCTTGCACTCTGTAATTTTTGGAATTTGATAAGATAAACTTCTGTAAATTGTTCCGCTGGATACTCATCTAAAGCATTGTACTCCTCAATGGCACCATATAATGCAAACTGTTGCACTAATTCCTTCATGACACCCAAAGCAGGAACGCCTTGTATTAGCAAATAACGAGATTCTAAGTTGACAGTGTACACCTAAAAGAAATAAAAACATTTACATACATTTATCTTGCAATAAAACATTAAATACTATATTCAAGCAGCTCAAGTATTTTTCTTCTATTGACCTCTTAGAACTTTAGAAAATTTTAAACATTCCCCCTTGATTTCAAGCCTGGAATCTTTCAAAGAAAGTATTATAGGGACTCCCAACAAACAGAAATCTGTAAGAATTCTATGATCAGCAGGGACTTCCTCATCAGTGACTGGTTATAGAACTCAATCATTCTGATCCAAAAGCAGATGCCTACCATTTGAGTTAGGTTTATTTCCGATCTGATCCAGTAAAGAGCAATGCTATATAGTCTAGCCAGTACATTACATGTGCTTTTCAACAATGAACATGTTTGCAGGATTGGGCCCTGAAGCTTGTATGTATTGTATGCAACCTTTCAAGACAAGATAAGGGAATACATTTTTCAATTTATTTTCTACAATTCTATGATTCAACTGAATGCTGGTAGGCTTTCTGTAGCATGTAACAAGACATCTAAAATGAGGCCAAAATAGTGCAAGAAGAATTTTGAAATGTGAGATTTCTTTCAATATTAATGTTTCCTATAGTTTCATAATCGAACATTCCTTACATTAATGATTAACACTCCCAATATGGCCAGGTTTGTGTGGAGTGGGGGATGTTAAATGTGGCCGGAACAAACTGATGTTTGTTGTAATGAGAGACGCACATATGTTAATCAACACAACACAACAAATAGTCTGGTAGCACTTTAAACACTAACAAAAATGTAGATGGTATCATGAGCTTTTGTGGCCCACTTCTTCAGATGACTGGAGTGTTGGAAGTCCAGAACCAAGAATAAATAAGGCAAGGAGAGATGGGGGCAGGCAGGGAGGAAAAAAATTGGAGGGGAGGAAAAGAGGACATTGGGTACATACTTTTCAAAGGGATAGCAGAGCCAGTCTGAAACAGGAAACATTTAAAAAACAACAAATAGTCTATTAGCATCTTAAAGACTAAATAGTTAAAAGAGGCTGATAATCATTAGTTTGCACTATGAAAGGAAGAGTAGTGACACCAGATTCTACACAGACATCAAGAACCATTGACACCTCCTCATCACTCCTTCCTTTATTTATTCTTGGTTCTGGACTTCCAACACTCTGCTCATCTGAATAAGTGGGCTGTGCCCACAAAAGCTCATGATACCATCTACACGTTTTGTTAGTCTTTAAAGTGCTACCAGACTATTTGTTGTTAAGTTTTTCCTGTTACAGACTAACTGAGCTACCCCTCTGAAACTTTTAAATATGTTAATCAAATGGTTCCTAACTCATTTGTGGCAAGCTTTATATCGGTTTTTGCCAGAATGAAACCTCATTAGTTTCCAGGCAGCGCCAGGTAGGTGAGAGTGTGTGATGGGGTGATTTGCAATCCTGCACCATCCTATCACCCCAACAGGCTGCGGCCTTTGGATCACAATGCCACAAAACTGAACACAGAGCGTGCACCCACAGCCACTGGAGAGCAAGAGCCAGCCAGAGCCCCGCCCTGTGCCGTGCCCCCGGGTGGCCTTAGCCTGGGCCAGGGAGTGAATAACTCTGCCCCAGGCGCCGCAGCGTTCGGAGCAGGGTGACGCTCCCGCAGGGAGAACAGGAGGCGGCTAGAGCAGCCCGCAACCTGGCGCGTACCCGCGGGCGGGCGCGGGCATTTGAAGCCAGATGCTCGCCCAGGTGGCCCGTAGCCCGGGCTAGCCAGTGCAGGCCCCGCACATTCCCACCTTCACTGCGCGGGGCCTGCGCCCCTCCCGGTACTTGGCGCGCGAGTCGCAGACGCCCTGCTGCGCGTGGTGTTTACAAAAGCCCCCAACTCCATCGCCAGGCGCCGCCATCTTCCCCTCTCCCCCCGCGCGCGCCACGGCCAGGCAGCACCAGTAGCTCCCCGAAACAGCAGCCAGTCACAGAACCGGGGAGCGATTACGGCGCGCTCATTGGCTGCGGGCGGGGACGCGCAGGAGAGATTTGGGCTGACCAGACAGCACCTGCAGAATCCCTCGAGAGAACAGCCAATCAGAGAAAGCGGGCGAAGGGGGCACGCACGCTCATTGGCCTGTGGCGGGCCGTACCAATGTTGCTGGAGGGTAGGGGCCAGTACTGAGGGCTCGTGCTTCCTTCTCTCTGGCCACACGGGGTAACGCTCCCTGAGTGCGGAGTGGCCGCTCGATGCTGCCGGGGCGCGCCGCGGCTAGGTGCGGCCGGGGCGATGTGGGGCAGCGGCTACCCCGGAGGCGCGGGGGGCGCTGCTGTGACTGTCGCCTTCAGCGGCACCCGGGACTGCTTCCTGCACCTGCCGCCTGCGCTGGCCTCCCACCTTCGCCTGCAGCAGGTACTGGGGCGGGCCCCGGCTGGGCGGAGGGACCCTCGGAGCGGATCGTGGCAGAGCCCCGCCCCTCTCCCCACCAGCATGCGGGAGGGACTGGGAGGCGCCCCTCTAACTTTCATGGCTTCACCCCTCCTCGCCAGCATCCCCCTCAGGGCTACGGTGACATCGCTTCAGTCCCGCTCCCCCGGTCCGTTAGACTCCGCCCCCTGCCATCCTAACGCCAGGCCGTTCTCTCGCCGCTTCCCTCCCCCCAGTGCCAGTGATGCAGTGACACCCCCTGCCAGATCTCCTCACATACCACCGATTACCCCACTGCCAGCGACATCCCATCACCAGCACTTCCTTATCGTGCTCCCCCTCCATGCTCGCCAGTGGCGCCCCTCAGTGCTCGCCAGTGACAGCAACTCCTCTGATGCCAGCACTTTATCACACTCCCCTCACACCAGTGCCCTCTCAGCCAGTAATGCCTCCAAAGCCAGCAATGCCTCCAATACCACCATTTCCTCACAACAGCCCCTAATGCTAGCAAAACTACCAGCACCTCCTCACAACCCCTGAGGCCAGTGATGACTCTGATACTAGCCCCTTTGCATTGCTCCCTTTCCATGCCAGTTACACCCACGCTGCTTGCAGTGCCCCCAATGTTAACATCTCCTCACTATGTCCGCTAATGCTAGTGATGCCCCCAGTATTAGCATCTCTTCATGACACTCTCTGCAATACCAGTAATTCGTTACTACCACCAGCACCAACACACAATGTCCTCACAATGCCAGTAAGTTTTCATGGTGGCCCCAGTGCCAGTGATTCACTTTGAATCGACTGCCTCACAAGACCCCTGATCTAGAGGTGTAAAAAGTTAACCAATTAACTGATAAGCATTGCTTTACTGGCATGCTTATCAGTTAACCCGTTAATTGGTGTGGAGAGCAGCCAGCCGCCCACAGCACAGCTATGGCTGGTTGGAGCAGCCTCTCCACCTGCTGCAGGGTGTAGGAGTTAATTGCGGAAGAGTTTTGTACATGTAAGTTTAGGGGTGTGAGGCCTGCATTCTTACCCCTTCCCCCATATCTGATGAGCCAGAAGCATGTTTTTGGGAACATATGCCATTTAAGATAAGCATTGTTGCCAGTATAGCAAGAACGAGGGTAAAGGGCAAGAACGCATAAACAATCCTGTTTACTCTAATGCACTGATCACTTAAACAAGGCCAAAGAACAAGTAGAACAAAATCAGAACCAGATGGATAACTAACAGCCGAGCCCTACATCAGCAAGTAATGAATAACCCCTGGAAATTTCCATACTGCCAAACAAGGCAAGAAAACTGTATTTAAGACTGCTCCAAAGCACAGCAATTTGGACCTCACCGATGGGCTTTGGGTACCGGTGCCTCGGAAGCTGAGACAGTCTCTCACTTTGTCCGGCTAGCCAAAGGGACGTAAGATATGCCACTTTCTGTAGAGTTGTCTTCAACTCTAGTTGACTTGTCCAGTGAAACAAAACAAATGCAGTGTCATATATTTTTGATACATATACATGATACAACCCCTGCTTGTCTCCTTCCCCCAAAAAATTGTACCATGGAGTGTTATCCCTGATTCCTAATGATACACAATCTGCCTATACTCATCCAATTCCCTCCTAATATCCCCTTCTTTTACATTTTCCACACTCTTAACAATAACTTGATAGAATCTAAATTAATCTTTAAAACAATAAAGAGCCAAGAAGATGCATATATTGAGGTACCAAACGGGTTCGTAACCTTTTGTGTGTGTAAATCTCTACCTTCGTTACTTTATGTTTCTAGTATCCATCAAAGCAAGGCCCCAGTGATCAAATCAGAGATAGATAGGCAGATCTTTGCACCGGCATGGAGTGTCGTATTCAGATTTTCAATGATTCAGTGTATTACAGTGTATTTCTGTCTTACTTGTGCTAAGATGCTACATTATTTGTTAAAAGATAGCATGGCAAATCCAGGAACAAACCGCATTTCTTCATTTTGTAATCAAATGTCAGGTTTTGTCTATACTGTTAATGAGAACAAGCAGTATTTGTGGAGTATAATTTTATTTACATTGTTTTCTATTAATGTTATTTTGTTGTCTGAAATCAGCAGGGCCAAGCTGTGAAAATCTCCTTGGGTTACCAGCCTATATTTTTGAGTTGGATGGAAATTAGACATCGTAATCACCATGGTGAAAATATTGCTGAAATTAACAGACACCTAGCAGAGAAACTTGGCATTGCAGAAGGAGAACAGGTTTGGAATGCACTTTTTTTAAACAAAATTTCTGGAAGAAATAATGCTTTCATTTAGGTTCCAATTGTGCAGCCTGTTCCATGCAGGCAGACAGATCCCCACTGTCCTCACTGGGACTGAATGCAGCAATATTATTGATGCTGCTATTTCTTTTCACTTTGTATCTGTTGTGTTCACTATAGGACATCTATATCCTAAGCATACCACAACAGCTATGTTTTACTTCTGAGGGAATTGGGGAATTCTGCATTATTGAGCATCACAGAATTCAGATTCTTTAACCCATGCCTAAGCTTTCCCGCACAAAATCACAGGGAAGCAAAGGGAAGCTGCAAGAGTGTGGTCACATAACTGCATGGTATTTGGCACTGGGAGTAGTTGGTCTGGGGATGTCCATGGATGTAGTTTGGGGGAGGCATTGCTAGGTATGGGGGGGGGGGGAGTATGGAGGATATTTGCCACTGTGTTGGGGGCATTTCTGCTAGGAATGCGATTTAGGAATGTGAACAATTAGTCAACTGTCTGATAAATGATTATTGGATAGTCTACAGGCTAGTCGTCTAATTGCTTCCTCCCACCTGGCTGCCTCTCTCAGAAAGAAGCAGCAAGGGGAGGAAGAGAAGGGGTTACTTCAAAGCAGCAGCACCACGTGGAGCGTGGGGCCAGACCCTGGGCTCCAGGCGGCAATGCTGCATGGAGACTGGGCCAGCTGGGGTGTCCCCAGGCTGCATGCAGCATTTCAAAGCAACAGCGTTGCATGGAGCCCGGGGTCACCGGGCGAATCCCCAGCTGACCCCAGGCTCCACACAGCACTTTAGCTTTTGAAGAGTAGCAACAGCTTAAGGGCTGTTGCTATACTTCAAAGGCAGAGGTGCCCTATCAACTAATCAAATAGTCGATGCAAAATATATCGAGCATTTGATTAGTCAATTCACTTGATATTTAACATCCCTAATGTGATTGCGTATCCAAGTACACAGTTAACTGATAAGCCTGGGCTCATCAGTTAACCCTCTTGGTCACATGCAGACCCCACCCCCACTGTATCAGTGGCAGTAGTGTGGGGATGGAGGGGCAGTCGGGAGTTGGTATGTGCAGGGAGCCGGCTTTCAAGCCTTCTCTCTTTCTCTCCCGCCCCTGCCCCCCCCCTCCCACACACACAGCTGCTTTCCACAGAGGCATCAGTGCAGGCTGGAGGAGAGGCAGGAGCCATTGCTTGCAGGGAGCTGACTTTTAAGCCCTACTCCCCACATTGCTGCCTCTGTATCTGAGGCAATAGCATGGCTGGGGGGACAGCTCCCGCCTTTCTCCTCCCATCCCTCCATAAACATGTATCCATTGAAAATTTCAGCAGTTACACGTTTACACAAATAAACGCGTTTTAACATCCCTAATTTCAGCAAGTGCAGAGCTACCTGGCTGATGGAGAGTTCAGTTGAGGCTGCTGACTCTGTAGTTGGATGCCACCTCCTGAGTCATAGTGCAGAATTTTAAAATGTGAGCAGAATTTTTCTGTTTTGGGACAGAATTTTTATTGTTTTGGTTCAGAATTCCTTCAGGAGTAATAGTGATACTTCAATTTTTGGTTAAGTGGTTTAGCTAATATAATTAAAACGGCAAGTAATCTTAATCATCCAAAGTGTACAGTGAATCGGACTTAATTCTTTCATGTTACTTAAATATTGAACATGTTCTTTATGTAAATATCAGAGGCTAAACATTTTTAATGTGTTGTTGTCTGCCAGATATTCCTTGAGCCATGCTCCCAAGCCGTATCCTGTCAGCAAGTAGAAGTGGAACCCCTCTCAGCAGATGATTGGGAAATACTGGTAATAACATTTTTAAATTGCTCTCATCTCTTTGTTACTCTCGATAAGTGTTTTTTTTTCCCTCCCACAACCTGGTCCATGCATGGGTGTTGTATGTTGCTTGTATATTTGATTCAAATTTGATTTTATATAGGGATACATGGATTGTATCTTAAAACAAATGCAGGATGTAATTTGAAATATTTGATTCCTAATTTTGCAAAATTGTCTTAGGAGCTGCATGCTTCCTCTCTTGAAAGGCATCTTCTTGACCAGATTCGAATAGTATTTCCAAAAGCCATCTTCCCAGTGTGGGTTGAGCAGCATACTCATATTTACATTCAAATTGGTAAGTGATGGAGGCCTTTCATGCTACAGGGAACTTTTAGCACAGGTGGGTAAATGTATTGATTATTTTTGTTTAATTACAGGTACACTAAAGCCTCCTGCTCCTTATGGGAGGCTAGAACCTCATACA